GGGCCCCCACCACTTCCGGGCCCCCACCACTTCCGGGCCCCCACCACTTCGGGGCCCCCACCACTTCCGGGCCCCCACCACTTCAGGGCCCCCACCACTTCAGGGCCCCCACCACTTTCGGGCCCCCACCACTTCGGGGCCCCCACCACTTCCGGGCCCCCAGCCGCATCTTCCGGCGGCCCGGGCGAGGCGTGCTGCCCCACAAGACCAAGCAAGGCCCGGCCGCCCTGGACGCCTCAAGGTGTTTGACGGCATCCCACCGCCCTACGACACGGTAGAGCGGGTGGTGGTTCCTGCGGCCCCCAAGGTGGTGCGTCTGAAGCCCACAAGGAAGTTTGCCTCTCCGCGGCGCCTGGCTCACGAGGTTGGCTGCAAGTACCAGGCAGTGAGAGCCACCCTGGAGGAGAAGAGGAAGGAGAAGGCCAAGATCCGCTACGGGAAGAAGAAACAGCTCATGAGGCTACGGAAACAAGCCGAGAAGAACGTGGAGAAGGAAACTGACAAATACACAGAGGTCCTCAAGACGCATGGACTCCTGGTCTGAGCCCAGTAAAGACTGTTAATGCCTCATGCTTGTCCTGACCTGCCCTCCTCCATCGTCGCCCTGGAAGGTGCGGGACCCAGGGGCAGCAGCAGTCCGGGTGCCGCAGGCACCCTGGGGCGTAGGAAGCTCGGAGCAAGGGAAGGGTCTAGTCACTGCCCGCCGAGGTCACTTGAAAGCACTCGGAATTGTGCAGGTGTGATTCATCTATGACCAATAGGAACAGCAACCAGTTACTATTAGCAAAAGGATCAGGAAGACTAACTGGAGGGGCCTTAGTTGTGAGTGGGGCATCTAACTTTCACCTGGTCATGCACTATACTCTGCAGCTGTTAGAATGTGCACGTGCGTGGGAACAGCCTGAGTCTGTACAGAGGATATTTATAGAAGCAGACTACTGGGAAGATGGGCAACTTGGGTTACAGGCAATGCCCGTGCCCCCTCACCTGTGTTTTGTGAGCAGAGTCAAATAAATGACTTTTAAAGAAAAAAAAAAAATCTACAAAAAAAAACTACAGCTGACATTCTACTTAATGATAAGAAACCAGAAACTTTCCCACTAACATCAGGAGCAAGGCAAGGATGTTAAGGATATATAATCTATGTGAAGAAAACTACAAAACTCTGAGAACATTGATTTTTTAAACACTAAATTAATGGAGGCCAGGCAAGGTAGGTCATGCCTCTAATCCTAGCACTTTGGTAGGCCGAGGCAGGCAGGCTGGAGCTCAGGAGTTCAAGGCCAGCCTGGGCAACATGACTAAACCCCATCGCTACAAAAAATACTAAAATTTGCCGGGCGTGATGGCATATGCCTATAGCCTCATCTACTTGGGAGGCTGACGTGGGAGGTTGGCTTGAGCCTGGGAGGCAGAGGTTACAGTGAGCCAAGATTGCACCAGTGCACTGCAGTCTGAGTAACAGAGCCAGATCCTGGCGCAAAACAAACAAACAAAACAAAACGATTAAATTAATGGAAAGGTATTCCATATTTATGGATAGGAAGTCTCAGTATTACCAAGATTTTAGTTCTTTCCAAGTAGATCTATAAATTCAATGCAATACCCATCAAAATCACATCAAGTTATTTTGTGCATATCAATAAACTGATTCTAAAATTTACATGAGGCTCGCATCTGTAATCCCAGCAGCTTGGGAGGCCAAGGGGAGTGGATCACTGAGGTCAGGAGTTCAAGACCAGCCTGGCCAACATGGCGAAATCCCATCTCTACTAAAAATACAAAAACTGGCTGGGCGTGGTGGCAGGCACCTGTAATCTCAGCTACTCAAGAGGCTGAGGCAGAATTGCTTGAATCCAGGAGATGGAGGTTGCAGAGCCAAGATTGGGCCATTTCACTCCAGCATGGGTGACAAGAGCAAAATTCCATCCCAAAAAATATAGATGTATATGGAGTATTATAAGAAAAACTCAAAGTCATATTTTTCAAAAGCTTCCCCTAAATGGTAGAGAGCCAAGAGACAAAGAATGGGCTGGGAAAGTCCAGCTTGGTAAGTAGGCGAGTTTATTAGGACTTACATATGAGACAGCCCTGGCTGGCAACAGAGCAGCTTCAGAGGTTTGAGCCGAACTCCCATCCCTTAGCTGTTTTTAAGCTAATTTTCTCACTCTTTTCCTACTGTGTGTGTGGGATGGGACTGTTTTCCTTGATAGGCTCTTAAACACTCTCCAAGATTTTTGAGTTCTCAGGCATACCTTCTCCTCAGCTGGGCACCATGGCCTTGGCTTATTCCCTGGTCTTTAGGATTCAGGCAGCAGATGTACACCCTTAAGTAACCTGGCCATAGTAGGGAACCTGTCACACTACGTGGAGAAACAAAAAAACCAGAATGGGCCGGGCGCGGTGGCTCAAGCCTGTAATCCCAGTACTTTGGGAGGCCGAGGCGGGTGGATCACGAGGTCAAGAGATCGAGACCATCCTGGTCAACATGGTGAAACCCCATCTCTACTAAAAATACAAAAATTACCTGGGCGTGGTGGCGCGTGCCTGTAATCCCAGCTACTCAGGAGGTTGAGGCAGGAGAATTGCCTGAACTCAGGAGGTGGAGGTTGCGGTGAGCCGAGATCGCGCCATTGCACTCCAGCCTGGGTAACAAGAGTGAAACTCCGTCTCAAAAAAAAAAAAAAAAAAAAAAACCAGAATGACCGACACAGTCTTAAAGAAGAACAAAATTGGAGGACTGACACTGCCCAACTTCAAGACTTACTCTAACTCTGCAATAGTCAAGACGGTGTGGCATCAGAGAGACAAGGTTTCACCATGTTGGCCAGGATGTTCTCAATCGCTTGACCTAGGGAGTCGCCCGCCTTGACCTCCCAAAGTGATGGGATTACAGGCGTGAGCTACCACACCTGGCTGGTGGTAATACATATGGTACAGCCAGCCAGGCGTGGTGGCTCACGCCTGTAATCCCAGCACTTTGGGAGGCTAAGGTGGACCAATCACTAGGTCAAGCTATTGAGAACATCCTGGCCAACGTGGTGAAACTTTGTCTTTAGTAAAAATACAAAAAAATTAGCTGGGCATGGTAGCACATGCCTGCAGTCCCAGCTACTCGGGAGGCTGAGGCAGGAGAATTGCTTGAACTCGAGAGGCAGAGGTTGCAGTGAGCCGAGATCGCACCACTGCACTCCAGCCTGGAAACAGAGAGAGACTCCGTCTCTAAAAACAAACAAACAAACAAACAAAAAATGGTACAGCCACTTTGGAAGACAGTTCGGCAGTGTTTCACAAAACTAAACATATTCACACCATATATCCAGCAATCATTTTCCTTACTATTTATTCAAAGGAGCTGAAAACTAATGTCCAGACAAAAACTTGCACACGGTTGTTTATAGCAGCTTTATTCCTAATTGACAAAACTTGGAAGCAACCAAGATGTCCTTCAGTAGGTGAAAGGATAAATAAACTGTGGCAGATCCAGACAAGGATATATTATTTTGCACAAAATAATCAGGTGCTAAGAAGCGAAATATCAAGCTGTGAGAAGACACAGAGGAACCTTAAATGTGTTTTACTAAGTGAAAGAAGCCGATCTGGAAAGACTGTAACCTTTGTATGTAGCCTATTGTAAGATTCCAAATGTATGACATTCTGGAAAAAGCAAAAATAGGAAGGCAGCAAAAAGATCAGTGGTGGCCAGGAGTTAGTGGGGGAGGGAGGGATGAGCAGGTAGAGTACAGATTTTTTTTTCTCTTTTTTTTTTTTTTTTGGGAGCGGGAGTTTTGCCTGAACCCAGGAGGTGGAGGTTGCGGTGAGCCGAGATCGCGCCATTGCACTCCAGCCTGGGTTCAGGCAATTCTCCTGCCTCAGCCTCCTGAGTAGCTGGGATTACAGGCACGCACCACCATGCCCAGCTAATTTTTTGTATTTTTAGTAGAGACGGGGTTTCACCATGTTGACCAGGATGGTCTCGATCTCTTGACCTCGTGATCCACCCGCCTCGGCCTCCCAAAGTGCTGGGATTACAGGCTTGAGCCACCGCGCCCGGCCTAGAGTACAGATTTTTAAGGCCAAGAAACTACTGTGTAGGATACTATGATGATGGACACATGTCATTATACATTTGTCCAAATTCATAGAATGTGCAACATCCAGAGTGAACCCTAACGTAAACTATGGACTTTGGGAGATAATGATGTGTCAATGTAGGTTCATCAATGTAACAAATGTACCACTCCGGTGTAGGATGTTCATGATGGGGGAAGGCTGTGCACGTGTTGGGGTAAGGAGTATATGGAAACTCTACTTTCTGCCCAAGTTTGCTGTGAACCTAAAACTGTTCTTAAAAAAAAAAAAAAACTAAAATCTATTTAAAAGAAAAAAAAAAAAAACAAACTTGCTGTACATCTACTGCTAATTGTGAACTGTTGAATGGGGGCACTGTGATGGTAGTCACAGCAGGAGTCATCACCCCATCTTCTAAGAGAATAATACAGGAAAAAAGAGGAAGCACAGAGGACAGATCAAACCGTGTGTCCCTGTGTGCATATTTGACATAAATCGCAAATCTCCAGTTCACCCCTCGGTCTCATGCAGTCAAAAACTCTTGAGGGTCACTAAGCCCTGGAGCCTGGAGCAACAACACATTTTTTACAGAGAGAAAATGTTATTTTAGAATGAAATCCTAGCCAAGGCTGCTGGGGGCTGTGAAAAATAAACCCATAAAATCAAGGGTCCTTGGAGCACTTAACAAGATTGCCACCTGATGGTAGGAAAACAATTTTATTGAGATTTCCCCCAGGAAACGGGTTTCTCCCAATCAAGTTGAAAGGCTGAGATCATCTTAGTAATGATAGTGGGTGACGACCAGAAGCAGCCCGTCTTCTTTTGACAGTGCTGCATCTCCTGTGCATGTTAATTAACTCATCAATTACCTTCCCCAGGGTAGGAGAAGCTGAGGCGCTCCAGAGGAGTCTCCCAGGGCAGGTCTTCCTGTCCCAGGAATGTCAAGAGCTCGCTTACCTTCTCTCAAATGATTTGCCTCAGTGACTGTCTAATGACTCCTAGGAACTGCTTATGGCTGCTGCCTGTGACATTTTTCTCTGAAAGGCTAGTCTGATGGATAGCATGGTAGACTGCCAAAACAGTGATTTATGTTCACGGGGAAACCAGGACCTTCTGGCTCCCCTTCCTGGGCAAACAGCCTTTATCTGCAAAGTTTAGAACACCCTGGGGAAATATGAAGGGGAAATTGAGTACCTTTTCTTTATCTATAACCTAATTCAAAATTAGTGTGAGCTGTAGTTGTAAATCTCAGATTGACCTGTTCTTAGCTCATTATTTCTTTTATGCCATTTCATTTTATGTGATAACAAAAGTATCACACATTTAGAATTTATAGTTTGTAAAGTGCTCTCTTGTGTAACAGTTTATTTGATTCTCACCAAAACCCTAGCAGATAGAAAAAGAGGGGTTACCAATCCCCTTTGAGTAAAGAGAACCTATGAGACAGAGGTTAAAGGACTCCCCCATATCAAACACCAATTTCTACCATCAAAACAAAGATTGTATTTACGTTTTATAATAAATTATTAAATATTTCAAAGGTAAACAAAATACAGAAAACATGAAAAGAGAGCCACATGTCTATCTCCCAGTTTTTACCACTATTAACGTATTTGTTTCAGATGCTTTTTAGCAAAAAATAAAACAATACAAATACCGTTTTGAGCCAGGCGCGATAGTTCACACCTGTAATCCCAGCACTTTGGGAGGCCAAGGTGGGCAGATCACTTGAGGCTAGGAATTCAAGACCAGCCTGGCCAACATGAGGAAACCCTGTCTCTACTAAAAATACAAAAATTAGCCAGGTGTTTTGCTGAATGCCTGTAATCCCAGCTATTCAAGAGGCTGAGACAGGAGAATCGTTTGAACCCGGGAGGTGGAGGCTGCAGCCGAGATGGTGCCACTGTACTCCAGCCTGGGAGGCAGAGTGAGACTCCATCTCAAAATAAATAAATAAAACAATACAAATACGGTTGTCACCATCCCATTTCCTCCCTTCCCTTCCAGAGGTGATTACTTTCCTAAAGATGATACATATCCTTCAATCAATGTTATTAAACATTTACTTCAGACTGGGTGCAGTGGTTCACATCTGTAATCCCGGGATTTTGGGAGGCTGAGGCTGGAGCATTGCTTGAGCCCAGCAGTTTCAGACCAGCCTGGGCAACATAGTGAGAACTTGTCGCTACAAAAAAGTCAAAACTTGTGGTAGAGGATCGCTTGAGGCCGCAGTGAGCCATGGTCAAGCTACCGCACTCCCTCTTGGATGACACAAGAGACTCTGCCTCAAAACAACAACAAAAACCCAACCAAACAACCACAAATGTATTTCATTTGTATTTACCTATAACAATCTGCATCAGTATCATGCTTTACTTTGCTTTACTTTTGTATATTCACACTATAGTTCGTGAATCTTTGTGTAACTTCTTTTTCTCACTGAACATAATCGTTTCTAGATATCAGATCAGATACGTGTAGAGCTGCAAGTTAACTGATCAATATATTTTTTCACTGAACAATAATATTTTCTCTCATAAAGAGACCACAATTTATTTATCCATTTTCTTATCAATGGATATTTAGGCCGTTTCTGTCTCTTACACTTTTCAAGCAGTGTTGCAGTGAACATTCTTCTTCATGGCAAATTATTCGTGGTGACCATGTCTGAAAACTTGTTTAGGGTATGTCCCTAGAAAATGAGGTGTTGGGCCGGGCGCAGTGGCTCACGCCTGTAATCCCAGCACTTTGGGAGGCCGAGGCGGGTGGATCACGAGGTCAAGAGATCGAGACCATCCTGGTCAACATGGGGAAACCCCGTCTCTACTAAAAATACAAAAACATTAGCTGGGCATGGTGGCGCGTGCCTGTAATCCCAGCTACTCGGGAGGCTGAGGCAGGAGAATTGCCTGAACCCAGGAGGCGGAGATTGCGGTGAGCCGAGATTGCGCCATTGCACTCCAGCCTGGGTAACATGAGTGAAACTCCGTCTCAAAAAAAAAAAAAAGAGAAAATGAGGTGTTGGGTTGGTTGAAGGGTATGCATACCTCGAAATTTATTAGATATAGCCAAATTATTCTCCAAAGTGATGGCAGAAATTTATGCTTCCAATAGGAATGTGTAAGAATTCCTGTTTCCGGGCCGGGCGCGGTGGCTCACGCCTGTAATCCCAGCACTTTGGGAGGCCGAGGCGGGTGGATCACGAGGTCAAGAGATCGAGACCATCCTGGTCAACATGGTGAAACCCCGTCTCTACTAAAAATACAAAAAATCAGCTGGGCATGGTGGCGCGTGCCTGTAGTCCCAGCTACTCAGGAGGCTGAGGCAGGAGAATTGCCTGAACCCAGGAGGTGGAGGTTGCGGTGAGCCGAGATTGCGCCATTGCACTCCAGCCTGGGCAACAAGAGTGAAACTCCGTCTCAAAAAAAAAAAAAAAAAGAATTCCTGTTTCCTCACATTTTCAGCAATACTTGGTGAAAAGTCAACCACTTGGTGAATTATTAGTCCTGTTAATTTTCCCAACTTGATGGGTGTGATTGGTTGTTATAATTCGCATCGTCCAGAATTGCCATAATTAAAAAATTTAAAAAAAAAAACCAGAAGATGTTGGCATGGGTGTGGTCATCAGGGTACACGTCTACACTGCTGGGGGGAGTGTAAATTAGTACAGCCGCTATGGAAAACAGTATGGAGATTCCTTAAAGAACTAAAAGTAGAACTACCATTTTATCCAGCAACCCCACTCCTCAGAGGAAAAGAAGTCTTTATACGAAAAACGTATTTGCACACGCATGTTTATAGTAGCACAATTCACCGTTGCAAAATCATGGAACCAACCCAAATAGGCCCATCAATCAACAAACGAATAAAGAAACTGTGACATATATATATATATATATATATATATATGACAGAACACTACTCACCCATAAAAAGGAATGAACTAACAGCATTTGCAGCGACCTGGATGACATCGGAAATGATTATTCTAAGTGAAGTAACTCAGGAATGGAAAACGAATCCTCATATGTTCTCACTGATATGTGGGAGCTAAGTAGGAGGATGCAAAGGCATGAGAATGATACAGTGGCCTCTGGGGACTTGCCGGGGAAGGGTGAAAGGAAGGTAAGGGATAAAAGGCTACAAATAGGGTGCAGTGGATACTGATTGGGTGATAGGTCCACCAAAATCTCACAGATCACCACGAAAGAACTTACGTAACCAAACACCACACCTATGGGGGAAAAAAAGTCAAAAAATAATAATTTGCATTATCCTCACAACTAGTCAGATTAAGCTTCTCATTTGTTTATTGGCCACTTGGGTGTCCTTTTCTGTGAATTTCTTGGTCACAACCTTTCGATTTTCGATTTTTTTTGTATTTTTCTTATTGATTTATATAAGTGCTTTAAGTTTTCTAGATATTAATTTCTTGTTGATCATATGCTTGTAAATATCTTTTCCCAGTCTTAAACTTGATTTTATTGAGAGGGATTCTCACTCTGTCACCAGGCTGGAGTGCAGTGGCGTGATCTCAGCTCACTGAAACCTCTACCTCCTGGGTTCAAGAGATTCTCCTGCCTCAGTCTCCCAGGCTTGTTTTTTTGTACAAACCGTGTCTCACCATGTTGCCCAGGTTAGTCATAAACTCCTAGGCAAATCATAACTTCTGGGGTCAAGCAATCTGCCCATCTCAGTGCCTCCCAAAGAGCTGGAATTCCAGGCTTGGGCCACTACCCTAGTCCTTTTTCTTGATATTGTAAGTTTATTTGTTATCTTTTTAATAAGGTGTTGCTCAGGAATGATATTAATTTTTTCAAATTGAGAAATAATTCACATAGTATAAAATTCACCCTTTTAAAGTATACAATTTAGTGGTTTTTAATATATTCACAAGGTTGCCCAACCACCGCTACTAATTCCAGGACGTTTTTATCATCCTGAAAAGAAATCCTGTAATCTCGAGCCATCACTCCCCATGTCCCCTTCATCCTACTTCCTGAAAACCGTTTATCTTCTTGCTATAGATTTGCCCATTCTGGATATAGTTTCACATAAATGAAGCCATACAGTATGTGGCCTTTTGCATCTGGCTTCTTTCACTTAGTATAGTGCTTTCAAGGTTCATCCATGTTGAAACATGTATCAATACTTCATTCCTTTTCATGGCTGACTAATATTTCATTATCTGGATGAACAGTTGCTTGTCCATGTATTACTTTATGGACATTTGAATTGTTTCCATTTTGGGCTATTATACATAATATTGCTATGAACATTTGTGTACAAATTTTTGTGTAAACGTATGTTTTCAGTTATCTTGGGTGTGTACCTAAGGGTGGAATTGTTGGGTCATGCGCAACCCCAGTTAACATTTCCAAAGTGGCTACACTGTTTTACATTCTCACCAGCAATATCTGAGGGTTCCAGTTTCTCCACAAATTCACCCACTCTTGTTATTGTCCATTCTAGTGGGTTTATCTAATTGTAGATTTGATTTGCATTCCCTAATGAACAGTGATGATGACCATCTTCTTACGCGCTTTTTGGCTTTTTGGCCATTTGTGTATCTTTTTTTTTTGGGGGGGCGGGGGACAGAGTTTCGCTCTTGTTACCCAGGCTGGAGTGCAATGGCACGATCTCTGCTCACCGCAACCTCCGCCTCCTGGGTTCAGGCAATTCTCCTGCCTCAGCCTCCTGAGTAGCTGGGATTACAGGCACGCATCACCATGCCCAGCTAATGTTTTGTATTTTTAGTAGAGACGGGGTTTCACCGTGTTGACCAGGATGGTCTCATTTGTGTATCTTATTTGGAGAACTGTATATTCAAATCCTTTGCCCATTTTAATTTGCTTTTCTTTTTATTACTGAGTTGTAAGAGTGCTTTGTTAGTTCTAGATCCTAGACCTTCATCAGATGTATGATTTTCAAATATTTTTTCCCATTCTGTAAGTTGTCTTTTCATTTTTCTTGGTAGTGTCCTCAACACACAAAAGTTTTTACTTCTTAAGTCCAATATTTTCTTTGGTTGCTGGAGCTTTAAAAGTTACATTTAAGAAACCATTGTATAACCCGAGTTTACAAGGACTTCCACATAAGTTTTATTCTAAGTACTCTGTGGTTTTAGCTCTCATATTCAGGTCTTCGATCCATTTTGAGCAAATGTGTGTATATGTGTAAACTACGGATCTAAGTTTACTCTTTCGCATATGAATATCCAGCTGTCCAGCATAATTTATTGAAGAGACTCTTCTTCTCCCACCAGATTGTCTTAGTACCCTTGTTGAAAAATCCATTGACTATAGAAGTATGAGTTTATCTCAGGACCCTCAGTTTTATTCTATTGATATGTTTGCCTTCCTGCCAGTACCACACTGTCTTGATGACTGTAGTTTTGCAATAAGTTTTGAAATTATGAAGTATGAGTCCTTCAACTTTGTTTTTCATTTTAGGCAGTGTTTTGGCTACTCTGGTTCTCTTGCATTTCTATGTGAATTTTAGGACCAGCATGTGAATGCTGCAACAACTAAACAAGAAGCAGCTGGAATTTTGATATTGTGTTGGGATTTAGGATTTTATCCAATCTATAGGTCAGTCTAGGGAGTACTGTCATCATAAGTTTTCCAATACATGAACATGGGATATCTTTCCATTTATTTAGATCTTTTGCTGAGACACTAATGACGTCTAAAAAGAAAACAAGAATTTATTTCAGCAATCCTTTGTAGTTTTCAATGTACAATTCTTGCATGCACTTTCATTAAATGTATTCCTAAGTATTTTATTCTTTTTGATATTACAAATGGAATTGTTTTATTATTTCACGTTCATATTATTCATTGCTAATGTATAGAACTAGAACTGATTTGCATATTTTATATGTCCTGCAAACTTGATAAATTTATTAGCTCTAATTGTGTCTTTTGTGGATACCTTAGTATTTTCTGTGTTAGAAACCATGTCATCTGCAAGTAGAGAAGTTTTTCTTCTTCCTTTCAAATCCTTTTATTTTTTTTCCTTGACTAACAACCCTGGATAGAACCTCCACTACAACATTGAGTAGAAGTCACGGGAATGTACATTCTCTTCTTGTTCCCCATCAAAAGGGGAAACTTTGTCTTTCACCATTTGAAATATGTTGGTAGTTACGGATTTTTGTAGATGCCTTTTACCAGGTTAAGAAAGTGAGGAAGTGCCTTTCTATTCCTACTTTGTTGAGTTTTTTCTTTTCTCTCTCTCTCTTTCTTTTTTTTTGAGACAGAGACTAGCTCTGTCACCCAGGCTGGAGTGCAATGATATAAGCAGAGTTTATTACAGCCTGGACTTCCTGGGCTTAAAAAGTCCTCCTGGTTGGCCGGGCGCGGTGGCTCAAGCCTGTAATCCCAGCACTTTGGGAGGCCGAGGCGGGTGGATCACGAGGTCAAGAGATCGAGACCATCCTGGTCAACATGGTGAAACCCCGTCTCTACTAAAACTACAAAAAATTAGCTGGGCATGGTGGCGCGTGCCTGTAGTCCCAGCTGCTCAGGAGGCTGAGGCAGGAGAATTGCCTGAACCCAGGAGGCGGAGGTTGCGGTGAACCGAGATCGCGCCATTGCACTCCAGCCTGGGTAACAAGAGCGAAACTCCGTCTCAAAAAAAAAAAAAAAAAGTCCTCCTGCTTCAGCTTCCAGAGTAGCTGGAACCACAGGCACGTGCCACTACAC